ACACAGCTAACGGGCAGATTGAGAAAAGCACAGAGTTCCCTGTTTAGGAAATATTCTAACCCGTTTGATGCTCATCAAACACATGACCGAAACGGGCGAGGCCAAGTCATGATGTCAACCACCCCGGCACACTTTACCTCTTCAGAAGGGACTGCATTTTTTAGTCAGTGAGGTGTTTAAAGACGACATCATATGGCATTCCAAGTCACTCTGACACTCTCTTCTTGTTCTAGTAAGGAAGAACGTCTGTACGTTGATTATAGGAGACTCAATGCGGTCACAAGTGAGGATCAGTTTTCATCGCCTCAAATTAACGCCTCATTGGGTTCTCAGCAAGGAGCCAAGCGGTTCCCCCAGGGTGGACTTGATATCTGGCTATGGACAAGCAGAAGGAGAACAAAAAAAAAAGGACTCTCATCACATCATGTGGGCTTACGAATCCCAGTAATGCCCTGCAGCTCAAGTCAAACCATCGGTTGGTATTGGGTCGCCTTCGAGAGGCCAGACTGACATTGAACTCCAAAACGGACTGTTTCCTCCTAAGCTCAGCCACATTCCTGGGACACACGATCTCAGCAGACGGAATGGTGGCCGATGGAGGAAGGACAAAGCAGGGGATGAAACCACCGCATTTTGGTAATGATTGACCAATTCGCCAAAGAAGCAGGGGCAGAACCTTTTAAAGCTAAGTATGCTAAGACAATAGCACTGACGGTCTTACACTTCTGCATATGCCAACACTTGCATCCGAATTAGACCATAGCGATTAAGACACAAATTTTGAAAGCTGTCATCATGCGAAACTCTTGTGGAACTCCTGAAGGGTTTTACCAAAGGCGTTCAACCCGAAGACTGAGATTAACACCCACGACGTGGTCAACTCGCGTAATAAGAGACAGCTCATTGCTTGGCTAAGGTCTCTACTTTCAAAGTTTCCACAGATCGTAAGATGAGGAGTCTCTCCGACATCGCCCTCTCCAGCACACACACGCTACCAAATACTACGTCTGACTACGTTTTGAGCCCGAAGGAAGGACTACGGAAAGTGATTAACAGTAAATGGAAATAGCTGACGAAACCACACGCCAAGCAGGACGCAAAAAGCAAAAGCAATGCTTGTAAACACATAAGGGATTCCGCAATCCACAGTTCTTCGTAGCCACGTCAAGGTTTTGCCACTCACAAGCCATCGAGGCTGAAACACAGGACTGCGCGCCCACCACAACAAGATTCGCTCTTACACTGGCAACTCCTCAGTAGATTATGAAGGTTAATTACCGTACTGGCAGAGGAAAGGAAGCCTCCTGACAACCCAAACTAAAGGTGACAGGCTTGCACTAAGGATGGTGCTCCAAAAAGAAGGGAGGAGGTGCAATACACATTGATTGTTCAAATTATGCATTGTAAAAAAGAGGTGGGAAAGCAAATCGTACTCAATGCCGGTGGAGTGCGAAGACCCTTTTCTGGATTAGCGTAGACACTCATTTGTCATGTGCATTCTCCCTTCTTTAAGTAGCACCCTTCTAAAAAGACTGAGATGAAGGATTTGAAGAACAAGGAGGAAGACGATGCAGGCCCTTTAACGAAATGTTCTTTTTAAGGATGAAAGAAAGCATATAAGTCGCCCTCATTTTTAGCTGTATCTATATACGATCCATAACTGTGATATGAAATGCATATGCCAAACACCTTTGACAAGTTTTAAAAGACTTTGTGTAACAACTCGAGACCTCATATTAAGTGGAAAAGGGCCTTAAGAAAGAGGAGAGGTCGAGTTTAGGATTGGCGTGAAGGCTAGCACCGACACTCAACCCACCTTTCCTTCCAAATACACCTACCGCGATGGCTATTAGTACGTTTTCGGTGGTGTCCGAAGGCAATCACAACCCAGCAGCATCAGCTTCGGGCTCTAATGGGACTGAGTGGGTCAAGTGGATCTGCAGTTGCGTTCGGCCTAGGAAGCAGAAATAGGGAGAGAGTGCTTCTGTTGACAAATGATTGTACATAAAAGTCGGTATTGGTACAGGTGAATCAGGATTGAATGCAGCCTCGTCTGGAAAGCGGTCCTGCATAGTCCCTTCGTCGACATTTACACACAAAATGCAAATAAAGAGGACTTCAAGAGGAGAAGCAATGCAACGTCAGCCGCTAATGCCTTGCCAATGAAACAGTGAAGGAGTGGATTTGAACACGGACGTCTGTTCCATCTCTACTGCTGTGGAGGCGTTACACCCGCTTTTGCCCGAAACATGTGCTCTTCGTTGGCACCGCATGGGTTGGTCAGAAACGGTAGAAACAAGG